AAAGAAATCCTTTGAAGAGTTTTTTCAACTCCACATGTGAGTTTCATTTAGAAGAATATATTGTCGTTACTCATATTCCACACTTAGTCTTTTTAGTGGATGCCACTTATAAGTGGGAATCGATCAAGTTTTATTGCAACCTGTACAATTACTCTGGGAACTGATATTCTCCACATTCCAAATTGATAGTTGAGGGAAGACTGGAATTATTATTTAAAGCAGAAAATTCCTCTGACTGTCATGTTTTGAGGAAATACACACACAAAGTCTTGCATGAGCATTTTTAAAACAAGGTTATATAGCTAAAATTTACAAAATTATTTTATGATTTTATGCATTTGGCTTGAAATAGGCGATGGCTCTACAAAGCAGTGTGTGGGTGACCTGGGTGTATTTAAATATGTTTATGTGTGTACAAATATATACAGACATGCAAATCCTGGTAAAGTCTGAATAAAACCCCAGGGCCACTTGGGCCATTGGGTGTTCATCCATGCATTAGAATTTTAATTTTGATCTTGTCCCCATCTTTTGTCATTCTTTGAAATTTCTAATGCTCTCTGACCACTTAGAAAGCATTTGTTAGTTAAACAGATCTTGTGCCCATAGATAATAAGACATATGCTGGCAGATCTTGTAGATCCATTTTTTGGTTATAGGTTACCAAGGAAAATAAAAACAAAAACGTGGCACTAGACCACCACTCCGGCACGCAGAATGGGTTTCATAGGGCAGGACTTGTGCGCGCCCCCTAACGTCAAGAAATTCGGTCACATTTGTTAACTGGTGCCTGGTGGAGGCCATGTCCTGTTGCCAGTGGCGCTGGGTCACTGTCGGGGTGGGGGTGTGGGGGACAGAGCTGCAGCAAGAGGACTGGGCAGTTGGGCCAACAGGCAGGTGGCATTTATCAACCTGGGGCCATTGGCATAAAACGGACTGATGAATGCGGATTCCACTGGCTTCTGGGGCTAAAGCCTTTCTAGGACGTAGGGCTTTCTGGAGGGTGGTCTGGCTCCCCCAGACACAGGGTGGGGATCAGCAGAGCTCATTTCCTTATATTTTATTTTTGAAAAAGACAAACAGAAACAACATTCTTCAGCATCCATAAGGTGGAGATATTCAGGGGGAAAATGAACAAAGGGCAGGAAGCAGGGCCCTGGTGGGGGCACGTGGGGGTGGGGGCAGGGGGAGGCAGATGAGCACTTTTTGATATTGGTAGAGGCCAGGAGTTGGAAGGGAAAACATTTTTGTGAAGTGACCTTTCCAGCTTGGAATTTGCATTGTTAATTTATAGACCGCTGAAGGGCGTGGTCAGTGTGACCGGTGGGTAATTGAGAGGCAAGATATTAACATAAAGTAAGACCGGGCGCTTAGCATTACATCAACCTGACTAAGAATGATTTTGTGTTATAAACCCTTAGAGAAATAACCCTGGAAACCTTTCAAACTCAAAAAAAAAAGTCATATTGTTTCAATTCATCAAAAACAAAATGAAAGAATTATGTCAATAGTGTGAAAAAATTTGTGTTCTGTAAAGGCAAGGTCTAGAAGGCACAGATCTCTGTTAGAATGCCTGAGCCCCATCTCCTGAGAGCATTTGTTTGGTATTTAAGCCCCCAGGGACGTGCTCTGGTGCGCACTGGGTAGGAAGAACTCTGTAAGTGTTCATGAACACCTTTATCCCAATTTCAGAGAGATTGGAGTGATCACCTGAAAATATTTCTTGAGTGCATGAATGAACCTAACCGGTGTGATGAGCGTAACACGCTCTCAGCAGATTAAGTCATCTCCCCATAACTCTGCAGAAATGGGGAGTACCTACAAGTCTTCACCTGCATGTCACTGGGGGCACAGGGGCACAGTGTGGTGATGCGGCACGCAGCCCTACACTAGGAGAGAGTGAGAGCCCAGATGACTGGCCCCCGGGCCTAACAGGACTAGTGAGCCTCTAGTGCTGACGAGTCCCAGATGGCTGACCCAGTGAATCATGAACACCAGATGGGTGTTCCATGCGTGGAAACCCATCTTTCTGGAATTGCAGACTGAGGACTCCCCACACCAAACCATGTAGAAGCCTTGGTGGGGGGAGTAGAACCCAGTACTGGTGGCTTTGGGGTCCAGTGAGGTGAACCTAAAATTTGAATTTGAATAGATTTTTCATTTAACAAAAAAATCTGCATATTGCTTTTTCAGTTGAAAAAGGGTTCTTTCTTCAAATTTTCCCTCCAAAGTATCAGAAAATGTTTTGCTCGGAGGCAGACACCCTGAACACCATAATTAGCTTGTGTTTCCAAAATAATCCCCTTCACATACGCTAACGTGTCTGCTTATATAAAGCTTCAAATCGTCTAGGGAGAAATACTGTAATAATAAATGTTGGCATCCAAATCGAAACAGCATGAGACTCCCAACAAATGTTTATGAAAACATTTGTTTTCTTATTGTCAGTTTAATCTTGAAGCAAATGCTTATGCCTGTGTACAAGGCCAGTGTCTTTGGAAATGCTTCTCCCTCCACCTTCTGAAAAGCAAACACACATCTTAAACACGGCCCCCCACAGGACAGGACTCGCCAGAAACAGGCACCATAATGAGGAGGCAGACCCTTCAGGTATGTCACTCTGAGACCACCCTACTGGAGGCCTTAAGAACACAAAGCCAAGGTCCCTGATGGCAGCTCTGGTAATTGGACACTAATAGTGGACAGAAGGTGTAAAATTCACCTCAACTCACCGACAGACTAAACAATCCAGATGAAGAAAGAGAGATGTTTGTGAGGAGGGAAAATTAATTATAAGACTACCGGGAAGCTTGTAAAAGCATATCCACTTTGAAAAACATAATGGACTAAAGATGATTATTTTGAAACTAAATGGCATTAGATCTGAGTGAAGTCCCTAGACCTCATTATGAGTCATCAGAATGCTGTTGTTTTACAAGTTAACATCAGTTTGGTTTTTGTTCTTAATATTGCCAGTCACTATAAGTGTCTGGTGTTTTGTTTGTTTGTTTTCGTTCATTTATTTGCTTTTCACAAAGAGGACATTGGTTTCTCACCCAGTGAGGAAAGGAACCCCCACAGTGTAGAGATTCTTACTTGTCCTATTGTGAAAGAAAATGTGTAATGTTAAATGGAGAATAGGATTGATTATTCCCCTTTTTGCCCTGTGGCACTAATGTTAACTTGTATTTTCCTTTGAAGAGAGAGAGTTTTCCAATCCAAAGGAAATATACATTTCTATGTTCACTCCAGCACTGCTTATAATAGCCAAACTATGGAAACTTCCTAAGTGGCCCCAGATAAAAAAGGTGTGGTATAGATACACGGTGGAATACTACTCAGCAACCAAAAATGATATTCTTCGACAACTTCAATAATATGGATGGAACTAAGGAGATTACAAGAAATTGAAATAAATTTAAAAAAAGCACTGGAGGAGATTATAAGAGATTGAAATAAATCAAAAGAAGAAAGACAAATACTGCATGGTCTCACTTACTGGTGGAATATAGACAAAACAAAGTTCCAGTAAAGCCAAAATAATGCTAAACTCTAGAAATCTAACAGAACTGAAGCTATCAGATGTGTGGGGGGAGGATGAGGAAAAATGGGGAGGAGGCAGACGGATGGTGGTGGAGGGCTTCGGGGGTTTGGTGGTGGGTGTGGTATAGTATGCAGCTGAAAGGGGAGAGGCTATGCTTCTAAAACACAAAATATTTTGTAAACCAATGTACCTCAACTAGAAAAAAAAGGATAAGAACCTCCATTCTATTCATCAGTGACTTTTTTTCTGAGAAATACACACAGCTTATAACTTACAAATAATATTTTAAAGATGGAACTAAAGTTAATGATGTTAGGAAACTCTTTAGATTATTTGAACGTATTGTTGTACAAGGGCCTGAGGTGCAGGAACTGAAAATTTGCAAGTAGCCTTCTGAAGATCATTTACTCTGGGAAGAATTTAAGATCTGCAACAGCTGGGGTTCAACAACAGATGGACCCATGTGATGACCTCTATCTTAGCTGCTTCTGAATTTATGACTGATGTCTGCTTGACAGGATCACGCAGCAGCATTTGATGATTTAGATTCTTATCCATAAAATGAATAACTCATTCTGATTCAAGATCTTTTGAAAGCTGTCTGTGTGTTGAGGTTGCATTGCGTGGGGTGAGGGAGCGACAAGATAAATACAGTCTTTGAAGGAAGAAAACGTTCCATTCTTCCTTTTGCTGAAGGAGATAACAGAAAGCTTCTTTTACTGTTTGTTTAGCACAGAAGCCCAGGCAAGGAGCTTTTGAATCATTCTGAAGTGACGCTCAGAAGTGGAATTCCCAAAGTTTCTTTCCCAATGACCCCACAGGTGACCATCCTAAGCAGCTACCATGCCTGCTGGATGCTTTAGTTTCCTTAAAACAAAGGGATTTTTCTTTAAGATTTATTTATTTATGCACACCGAACTGGGGTACAGGCTAAAGGCACAGGAGGTGAGAGGATTCACCAGAGACAGAGTGGGGTGCAGGACAGGCAGATCTACTGAAATACGTTGCTGAGGGGACCAGCGGGCGGGTCAGGTGAGGTCTGCTGTGCCATGTGGGTCAGCTCCCTGCCTGGGGATTGAACTCATGCTGCAGCAGCCATGATAACTTAGTAGTGCTGTGCCTTAACCTGCTGCACCAGCAGGGAGGGCCCAAAACAAAAGGATTTGAGAGCTGAGGCCACTTCCTGGAGAGGCTGAGTCCTCTGGATTTTAGCTGAGGATACTGATGCCACAAACACACTGCTGCTCTCTGGTGACAAGAAGACTGGGCATGTGGGTGCGAAACGGTTCTCGGAGGCTTGGCTGAGTCCCGGTGACTCAGTGACCTGAGCAGAGGGCCCTTCAGGGAGCATAGGGACAGGGCAGCGTGCTCACTTGTGTTTACCTGTCACTAATTCGAATGCATCCAAACAACCCAGGGAATAATACTTGACTGAAAGGAAATAACAAGGTCTCACCTTTTGGGGTCTACAATCTTGTACAGTTTTCCATTGTGAGTCTGGGTCATACTTTTACTACTGGATAGAATGTAAACTTCGCCTGTGAAGAGAAATGCAAATTAATTCACAAAATTGCAAGGCTTTACTCCCTATTGCCTAGCAGCTATTTTATAGAAATCGATATTTTATATTTATATTTTCTCTGTGTGTCTCTCTCTGTCTCTGACTTTCTCTTTATGTCATATATATGTATGTTGACCCTTAAACAATGAAGGGGTCAGGAGCATTAAATCTGCATGTAACTTTTGACTCCAGAAACTTAACTACTCATAGCCCACGGTGGACCAGAAGTGGTACCCATAGCATCGACAGTTCACACATGTTTGACTGGTTTATATATTCAATGGCATGTCCTGTATTCTTACAATAAAGAAAGTTAGAGAGAAAAAATGCTATAAGGAAATCATAGGGGAGAGAAAATACACTGGCAGTCCTGCACTGTGTTTACCCAAACCGTAAATTTACGAGAAAACCCGCCCTGAGTGAACCCACACTGCTCAAACCCAGGTGGTTCAAGGGTCACTGTGAATGTGCATGCATGTGCACATGCATGTATATTTGTACACACATGTAGATGTGTGTGCGCACATGTAGCCGTACCTGTCTCTGTGTGTCTGCATTTCTAGCCTAAGGCCATGCAGGAGCTCAGGAGTCTAGCCGTATGTGTGTCTGATTTTGACCACTTCTCCTCGGGTCGAAGCCAGTCCCGACAGTGGCCTGAGATGTCGCATGCTCCGACCTCAGCTGCATGTTTTGATCTGCTGCTGTGTTGTCCTCGTGATGATGAACTACAACCAATGAAGACCCTTTTACCCTGTTTGGTTAGAACCACTCTGGTTTATTGCTACCTCCATGGAATTCAGTGTATAGAATGGATCACCCGGATGGGTTTATAAGCTGCATTTGTGATTGCATATTGATGAGGCTTAAAATTTACTTGGTTCTCATTGACGAAATGGTGTTTGATTTAGTTTGTATTTCTCTATTCTGCTCTGTTAAGCACAGTCTCTTACTTCTAAAATAAACCCCAAACACAAGCAAAACAGAAAAAATATAGATGAAACAGAAAAGCAAAGGAATGTAAGTGAAAAACATTATTTATTTCACCACGAACTTTAGTTTACTTCACTTAAACCTCACAAGCCCATCCTGAAGTTTTAGTTAAAAGCAAACCGAGAAAAAAATGACTAGATAATTTTTGATTCAAAAAATGCAAAAATTCACTCATTTAAAACGGTAGTTAAAGTCAGAGTTTTACACGAAAGCATAATTGAGTGAAAATATCCTTAATTGTGACATTATATGATGTTCTCACTTTTGACAGGACTGTGTATGCTTTATCTGTTAGTTTACGCCCAATATAGAATTCAGATGGACATTTGGACATTTTTAACCAATGGTGGTGACGCTCATAGGCTGCGTCACTTGTAGTAAAGGCAAAAGAAATCAAAATGATTTAGTCACAAGGTCTAAATATTCAGTTTAACTCTGCCACAAAGAAGAAAATTTTAACTTACATTTTTAAATCAGAGTTGCCAAGATATTTAAGTTTCATTACAGAAGACTTAAGTGAAAACTGGTGTCTTTCTGATTCCTTTGAGTGGGATAGAAGAAGATCAAGGGAAATTAATTTTAAAATGTGCTATAAAAAGGACAGTGTGGACTTCTCTTATTGGAATCACTGAAGTCCTAGAACTCTGAAATTTGTGCTATGTGTTTCAAGATTCTTGTCTTTGCTAGTTAAGTCGAATAAATTCTCTTGTGACGGCAAAGAACATAAGCTGTGTGTTTAGAGAAAATATGCTGATATAGGTGGAAAACATATATCTGTTTTCTTAATACGTCTGTGAGGCAAAAGAGCCCAGTAACCAAGAGGAGTTTGGATGTACTTCTTTAAATGGAGTCACAGTGACATCTCCATGCATCTTACAATTTAAAATTAGTAGCATTTCCATTCTTTGCTTGATCCAATTCCAATTTCAACTTCTTTTGCTTGTTAGCTGCATGTACACTTTGATAACATGCCAACAAATACATTTTATGCTGTCCCCCAGACCACCAATGAGAAAATAGTTTTATTCTGTTGGAAATGAGATCTTGCACAAATTTCATGCCCAGATGGGTAAAAATAATAAATTAAAAAAAGAGAGAATTAGGTGAGTGTTAGATTACAGTATTTTTTTTCCAACTTCAAGAGACCTAGATAGGTGGGGATCCTCTTAGCTAGAAAATAGGAACAAAGGACTCAGAAGCATCAAAAAATATCTGTAGACACTTAAGATTTTCTTTCTTCAAGACTTAAAACATTTTTTGCTCTTGCTACCCCTAACCCCCAACTTTCCTGCTTTGCTACTTTTCTATTTCTATAGTGGAAAGACTTGAAGGGCCCTAGTAAGTGGTTCTGGGGGAAGAACCCATTACAGGTTCAGCACCCAGGTCTCTGGTTGCTCACCTTTGCTGTAGGTTACATTTCCAAAAGGGGAGGATGAGGGTGCTAGACTTAGCCTTTAGGGCACAATAACACCTCTTGGGTAAGGGAGTGAGAATGGAACTGAATAACAATTGTTTGCACAGTACCTAATTCATCTTCTCCAAATCCCAGGATGTGGCCTGAAAAGTAGGATCTACAAGAACCTCCATTGCCCAGACAGAGTGGTTTTTCCTGCCATTGCTTGCTCACGGGACTTTGCTGGAGAGTTAAGAAATTCCTACAACAAAAACATACCAGAAAGGGATAATGAAAACATACTTTTGCATTAGAAAAGAACACCATAAAATGTTTAGACTAAAAACTCACAATCAATTCGGTGCCATAGACCTGGCTTCTAAAGGGAAAAATAATACAGCCCATAATGTGTGTGAATACTGTGGAAGTGCACTGGGGAGAAAGTCTTTAAAGATACTGTTTTGTTTGGGGAGGACACTGAAAGTACCTGAGGCTGAGAAAAGCCCTCCCCTTCATCCAGGGAATGATACTTCCTCTGCAGGACTGACTAGTCTCCATGCTGAGCTCTTAGTCAGAGAGAGGGACAGTGGGAAGACCGTGGCATGAGTGTACACTTCTCTAGTCCTTCTAGTGACCAAGCACATCAGTTCTGCCAGAGGTCTGCATGTCGGCCACTTGGAAAATGAGACTCTTCATTTGGTTTACACCACAGAGTTTCTTATAATTTCCCACAATGAAATCTCTAAATTTTTAGGCTAGAATTTATTTTTGTTCTATTCTGTCTATAAGGGTAAAAGAAGTTCTGTTGCTAAAAGCCCTATAAATCTGGCCCACACAAAATTCTCAGCCTTTCAAGATAATTTAAAAAATATTTATATATTGCACGTGTAAAACAGCAGCTTTCAAATTACTCATTGCCATGGTAAATTCATATGAAAGATGAAGGGAGGAGTCAAAATCATATGAACAGCCCGCTTGAAGACTTCTCTGCCCAAATCTGTGTAAAAAGCATCTAGCAAGTTCCACATAGTGGAACTAAAAGTAAATAACAATAGTGATATGTGTTCCAGACCTAACCACAAAAGAAGCCAAACATCTGAACATTTGGGGGCAGCCTGACAACTGATCAATGGATGTATCATTTCATATAGCAGATCGTGGTATCATGGACACCTACCCGTTCCGGTCTCCAAACACGTAACTTCCGTATAGTCTCTGGGACTGGCAGCCTCGGTAAACAAATCCACCCACCAAAGGGCCGTTACTGAATGGCTTGAACTCTAAAAGTGAGGGCTCGCTTTCTGGAAAGAAAGAAACAGAGCATTAGATCAAGTGAAACATGTTGTAAGAAGATAGTGTAGGCCCCGAACAATCGCTGGAGGTATTGGCTAATGCAAATAGGTTCCTTTATGCCCAGTGTGGATCCTTGTTAGGTATGTATTTAGTGGCTGAAATAGTATAAAGTTTAAAGGGCTCTCATGTAAAGCTTAATGGAACAAGAATGTTCTGGAAATGCTTTCTGTATTATAATTGCCAAGACATTCCACATAAAATTAGAATTTTAATATATTGGAAATCACGGTCATTTATTTTAAACCAAAAACTTTAAACAAACAATATTTTTTTTGTAGCAATGCTTCTGCACGTAGTTAATGAACATAACCAAATCTTTGTAAAGCCACATAAAGTATTAAAAAGTTCACAATCTTAATGAAAATAAAAGCATAGTAAATAAAGATCTTTAAAACCACATCTGTTACATATTTTAAAACACTGTCACTTAGTCAAGGAATATCTTCATTGGAACTATTTTAATATTTTTGTTTAGAGAATTGCGTGGCTGATGAAACATATTCCACCCATTTCTTTTGAATTACATGTGTTGTGATTGTGTATCTCAATATTTCCATGCAAGTCATACACTTGACTACACATATGCTAATTATAATGAAAAAGATCTAAGTCAGTTGCAAATAAATCTGAATTATTTACTGTGTGCTTAATGTCAAGTTACTACCACCAGGCGGTATTTTAGGAAAAGCATTTGTGGAAAGACTTCACAATTTAAATTTTAATTAATTTAAATTTTAATTAAATGGTATAACCCTCCCCCCATGTCCTTATGATGAACACATTATAAAAATTAGAAAAGATAAGCTCTAAATAACCAGGTCACTGAGAATTTGGGGGGATTTTTTTTAAGCTTTATTAAAAGTATAATCGGGGCCCCTCCCTGGTGGTGCACCTAGTTAAGGCACAGCACTAAGAAGCTAAAGCCACTTCAGCATGAGTTCAATTCCTGCCCGAGGTGATCCACATGGCGTGGCAGACCTTTCCTGACACGCCCGCTGCTGCCCTCAGCAGTGGACTTCATTAACTGACCTGTTCTGCTCCCCACTCTGTCTCTGGTGAATCATCTCACCGCCCCTGCATCTCTGGCCTGTACCCCAGCTTTGTATGCATAAGTAAACAATTCTTTTAAAAAAAGTATAATAGACATATAAAACTGTTAAGATATTTAAAATATATGTGGTGATAATTTGATACATGTATACTTTGTGAAAGTATTCTGTGGATGTGTATTTAAAACATAAATGTAGGGCTGTCAATACGATAACCAGTTCCAGCTGAACCCCAATTAATGTAACTATAGAATTTAATATACAAATACAGCCACCATTCAATCTAGTGATTTAGGAGATTTTTTTTTTGAACCACATTATTCTTTGGTTTGGCTTTTATAAGATGCACACACACACATACACACACACACTACCTAAACTTTTAAAAAAAAGTAAAATAACTGGATACCACATGAACTAACACAGCTGCTTCATTCCTGGTGCTAAATAAATATCTCTGTTGAATGAGTAAATACAAAAAAGCAGTCAATTTAATAATCTTAATCTATTATGTTCCCTGAATCAAAATAACATTTGATATATTGCTTCCTTTGGAAGGAGTAAATACTAAAACATTGAAAGGTATTAAGTATTCTATACTTCATTATTATCCAATTTCACATCTTTCTATATGTATGTCTGAATACTCTAGTAATCACATTATTAAGAATAACATCTAAATGTCTCATTTCTATGACTTGAGTAAGATGTTTTTACAAGTCTTTTACTTTGTTTTCTCTAAAATAAACACCTTTAAACATTACCTTCTTCCTTAAAACACATAATTTTCCTATTTGCTGAGACTAGCAAGTTGGGTCTTGGGAGATTTCTTGCCTTTAACACATGTTTTTCCCCTGAATATAAGAGGTTAGGACAAGTTTTCCCTTATATATAACATAAATGGATGTTAGTCATCTTGATTCACAGATGAGCAATATATAAACTGCTACCTTTTGAAGATCCATTACATCTTTTGGGCCCATAGAGTGCCATTTCAAACCCTGGGAAAGGTAATTAGCCAAATGGAACCCCACAGGGCTTATAAGGATCACTGGACCTTTCAAAAGTGAGCAGTTGGCTCTCGCCCACTGTTCATTGTTTTTATGCTTTCCTAAATGGTCCTTTTGCAGAAATTCTTTTCCTTTTCAATTAAAATACTTAAATAAAACAAAATCCCAACTAAAATAGAAATTAACAAATTAAGCTCTACTTACCATAATCTTTCCCTTTTATTATCTGTAGGATTCTGGCCGAGGATCTGTTCTTTCCATTGGAGTCTGAGCAAAGTATTGTCAGGTTGATGTTCACATCTGTGGGGTGTCGGTCCACAGCACATCTACACAATAAAAGGGGAGATACTCAGTAACTCCTACATGGGGATCTTCCCAGCCCAGGACTTACTTTCCTGACATAGGAACCCTTTGTGGGCTGCAAGGGATCCTTGGGCTATTGAGTTCAGATGCTGTGAAGCTGCTAAAGGGAACATTCTGGGATGTTTGTTGGCTCTGCTGAAGTTTAATGACTCTGGAATGTATTTATTTCTCAATTTGTCTTGGTTTCTCCCTCAATTAGGAAAGTGCACACTGACTTAAAACGTTTGTGATTCTGTTGCTAAGGAACAGTGTATGTACAACATACTGATAAAATATATGGAATAAGAATCAGCAGCAATATCAACACACATAAACAATGCACAAGTAGTTAGTTGTATTATCAGCTTTTTGTTCTGGGCATGGAATCATTATGGCTAAGGCTCAGATCACTCTAACAAAGGAGAAGAATAAAGCTGGTCCCCACAGCCATGGAGATCTTTTACATTGACTTTAATTTCACTTTGTGTTCACCCCCAATGTGGGGCCAGAATGTTTCTATAAATTAAGCCACCTGACTATTAACTCCAAGAGGACAGAATAGCTTCCAACTTTTTTTTTAAAAGAGATTTCTTTATTGATGCATACAAGAACTGGGGTGTAGGCCAGAGGTGCAGGAGGTGAGAGAATTCACTAGAAACAGAATGGGGAGCAGAACAGGTGGATCTACTGAAATAAACTGCTGAGGGGAGCAGCAGGAAAGACAGGAAAGGTCTGCTGTGCCATGTGGGTCACTCCCTGGCTGGGGATCGACTCATGCTGCATGACTGGTGATCACTTGATAGTGCTGTGTCTTTAACCCCTGCTCCACCAGGGAGGCCCCTGCTTCCAACTTCTTGATCGCTCTATTTCTGTAACCTAGTTCATAGCCAGCAATATAAAAGAAGCTCAATATTATTGAATGTCAAATATATAGACTGATGGTGCAGAATTGGGGTGGGGTACGGATGACATTGAATAAAGGAATTTTTGAAGTTCTCACAAATGTGGAAAACACTCTTGCATTGTGTTTAGTTTTCTCAACCTTGGCATTACTGACATTTGAAGACAGATACTTCTTTGTTGGGGTAGGAAGGGTTGTAGGGACTTTGTCCTGAGCACCATAGGGTGTTTCGTAGAATCTCTGGTCACTAGATGTCAGTGGTAGGGTCCCCTCCTTCTATGTTGTGAAAATCAAACATGTTTTTAGACCTTGCCAAATAGCCTCTGGGGACAAAATCATCCCGTTGAGAATCACGGGTTTAGTCCCATCAAATATATTAATGACTTAAAAACCCAACCCAATCCTTGAGGTTATTAAATAAATTTTAAAAGAATAAGGAAATCTGACAGTAGATTCTGGGGCTTAAGAGACATAAGCATGATATTTAGCAATTATTTCAACAAGAAGGACACAAAAACTTGGCTCCACATGATTCCATTCATAGTGGGGAAATGCTAAGCCTGACCTGCCAGAGATGGGCTAGTTGTTCCGTGACAACAGTCCCTTTATTGTCCCCTTTTATTCAGTGATTCACAGAATACAGTGCCTGGCAGGGACGGTGACACAGGCGAGCTCTGATTTCAGTCAGAACATGCTTCTGTGCTATTTTTTGAAGATGGAGAAACAATGAGCAAAAAGGTTTGACCTGTTTCTATTAAGAAAGAGCAAATCTAGAAGGAAAGGCCTGGTCCCCCAAAGACAGGTGGCCAGGGGCCTAAGGTGGCCTATGGCTGGAAACCAGTTTCCTTGGGAAGCGTCAGACTCTTTAGCGTCTTGTGTGAAATGGAGGCCGGTGAGTAAGACTTCTCTGTGCGAAACCATCATGGTGGGTACAGATCACAGGACATTTGTCCAAATCGACTGAGAATGTACCAAGAGGGATGCCTACTGGAAGCGCGGATTTTGGTGATAGTGCTGTG